TAAGGGAGATTCTAGAGTTAGTTAAAATACCTGATCAGCTGTGAAAATACTAAATGTAAGATGCTATCCATCATTGCAAAGGTAATGTTGTTTAAGGACTGGATATGGACATAAGCCCGATCACCAACTGGTATGTGAGGTCCTGTTTTGAAACCTTAACTTTTCTTTTTTTTTTAGCATTTTGGCTCTAAAGTGTAACTATATGTTACCATGTTGTTTTGGCTCACATTGGTGTTTTTGCCACTGCAGGTCCATTTTGTCAATATTGGTCATACTATGATCAGAAAGAAGGGTTATCTGATGTTTGCCCATTGGCTAATGACCTGTGATTGACAAGTGATTAACCAGTGTGTATGCAGTTTCACATTCAGACCCGCCCATCTCTCGTCACACCTGGCTTCAAATTACTCATCTTTATATTTCAAAACATGACTTCAGAAATCGATGGATGACATCATGGTAGCCAGCGTCTTTGGCTAGCTTGCTTGTCATGGTCATTTCCCATAGAATCCCATTTTAAAAGGTATATCTACAGCCTGCTAGAGAAAACGTATTATTATGCTACACACACATCTGGTAAACAGTTACTCAGCTTTGTCTCGCTACCAATCTGTTGTCATTAGGATGAGAATCGCTATCACGAGGACATCTTTGGTGTCACCCTGCGCACCTACGAGGTCACCAACCGTATTCGTTCAGAGTCCATAGCCTACATTGAGGAGAGCAAAAAAGACTCAGATGAGTAAGTGTTCTACATTTCCAGTATTTTTTTGTTTCTTTTCATATTTAGTATGTTACAAAACTGTTCTGAAATGTCAGTAAAAGTCAGAAGAATCTTTTCTTTGGTAAAATATTTTTCATAGGTAAAATAAATGACTGATGATTCACTGTGAATTCATGCTAACTTCTAATTAATCATGAGGAAAGGCTTTGTGAAAATCAGTTCTTTATTTAATATTAAGAAAATATAGAAAAATGTATTCCATCCTCAAAAAAACAAACAAATAAAAAAAAAACAGAAAAGGATTCATATCAACTATTTTTCTATTGATCATTCACTCATTCACATCCGTACAGTAAAATCAGGACCAATTACCACTGTGGAAAAGCCCATTCATATTTATGTCAATATTGCAACTACAAGAGCAGCTTTATCTCAGAAACATTTGTAAGTCAACTTCAATCTGCAACCTGTAGTTGCTGTCGACAACAATGTGTTGTCATCACTAGCTTCAGATGAAAACAGAGCAGGTAACCATAGAAACCTGTGGAGAAGAGCATTTAAACTAACAGGATTAGAGTGAAAGCGAGTGGCTCTGCTCCATTTCTGTTTTTGTTTCCAGCGTTATTTGTGCATATTCAAGATTAGACACTTCATATACCCTCGCCATAAGAGCAAAACAAGGGCCCTACATAGCCACTATGGCTCATTAACCACCAACAAAATGCATCACAGACGATGGTTCCTGTGTGGATTGTCACTTGAATTTCACATTTGGCCATCAAAGCCCCTGCTTGCTGGATGAGTAATGACTGTAACATCTCTATTTCCATGTCTCTGTTGCTCTTTCTGTCTGTCTGTCTGTCTGCCTGCCTGTCTGTCTGTCCTTCGCACTTTTTTTCTCTTCAGGGTTTTCTGCTCGTAGGTCGATGAATCGACAGGCTTTCTGAAAACAACAAGACACAGCACCGCTGGTTTACTAATACTGTGCCAATTTTTGTACTGTAAAAAATGGGTTTGTTTGTGTTCTTTTTTTTATATACCATTTTAATGTTTCTGTTGGGCTCTGCGATCTTGTCTGTAGCAAGTTGGAAATGTTCTGTTCTTTGAGAATCTGTTTTTGCTTGTTGATGATACTTCCAAAAATGATCTAGTGTAATGACCTGCCTCATTGTGAATGCATGACCAAGACAATATATTCAAGAAATATAATATACTCTGTGTTATTGTTACTGTTAAAAGGCTTTTATTGAGGTTTTATATTTGCAAGGAAATGTGTGGCATAGATAGTAAACTTTCATTTCTGTGTGGATTAAGTCAACTTTACTTGTTGGGAAAGTGTAAGGACTGCTCAAATATATTTGGACTGTTTTTCATTATCAATATCAATCTCTTTAGTCCTTGACTAAGAAAAAGAAAAGATGTATAGGCATGCAGACAGAGAAACTGAAGGACACGTGCTGCGGACAAATTTAACGTATTGACAGGTATCCCTGAATAATGAAAACATAAATTCTGCCACTGCCTCCATAAACAGATTACCTTGCTCTTCATTGGCAATTCTTCAAAATGCATCAGCCTCTGTGCGAGTGCCATTTTTCTTAGTGTGCTCATTCTGCCATCGCATCATAATCTTTTGGGTCCCAGGTGGTGTTTGCTGAAACTGCAGCACTAATGTGCAGGGCAGCCACTAAAGACCAAACGTGAGTCAATATATCTTAAAAATAAACTTCAATGATAAACTATTAACAAAAATATAGGTCTTGAGGGCTTTTTAATTTAACATCTAAATCGTACTATGTTCAATGTGGTATAACGTATTATAATGTGTTAAATTCTAAATGTCGCGGAGGATTTTTTTTATTTTTCATCAGCTGTTTGGAATAAGCTGTAGAGTAAATGACTAATCGGTGAGTAAATGAATAAGTAACAACTTAAAAGAATTGTTCGATATCATGGAAAATACATTTATTCACTCCAATAGGCTATCTCAGTGGCAGCTGTTTAAAACTTTGTTAAGATTTGTCCTAGATTTTGTTGTGTTTCATTGCAGCAAAGGTTGTCCAACTAAAACACAAGTCTGAAGAAGAAACGTATTTATGGGTACCTGATGTCCAGAATTAAAATGCTGCTGATATCAACAGATTGGTCTAGCAAGGCTGTTTCCCCCATTTCCAGGTCTTCTTACCCCTAATTGCCCATAAATCAAGTTTACTATTTTTACACTTTGGTTTTTGTACAGAATAAACTAATTAAATATAACATGTTACTCAGTGAGCTTTAATCGTGCCGTATTTGCGACCTTTGTAGAGAGCCTATTTCCAGTCTGTATGCTAAGCTACACTAAATGGTTCTTGGCTGTAGCTTTGTATTTGCTGTAAAAACACAATATTGGTATTGATCTGTTCATTTTATTCTCAGTAAAATAGAAAGAGCCTTTTCCTTAAAACTCAAGTAATCCGTAACAAAACGTTGTTACTGAAGGGGAAAAGATGCTGCCCAGTTCGTATCTGACAGCTGTCAACTTGCTCCACTTATCACCTATTGAGCCTTTAAAATATCTATTTAACAGCATCATATCTCCTCTGCCTCTTGCCTTACATTAACATTTTGCCTACGTTTATGCATTCATCCTTTCAGTTTTTTTCTCTGCATGTTTGTGCTACCTTGTGGCTCACGCGCCACCCCTTCACTGTGACCTGACACCTGCTCAACGGCATCAGCACGCATGTGTGTATGCATGCATATGTGTGCCCTTGAAATTATCATAAGTGTGCGCATCTCTATATACGAGTGGGTGTAAAACATGCATGATCTCAGGTGTGTGTTTTTACATGATTATTCTACTTGTCTGTTACCTTGTCAAACTGCTTCGATTTTTAAAATAAGCATGAGTACCCTGCTCTGAGTCACACAAGCCTGCAGATTTAATGTTACAGATGGTGTTTTGGTAACAGAAAGCTGCCCACATGGCTTTTAGTTTTGATCGCAGCAGTTCGGTTCTATTGTTTTAAGTTCCAGCGAAGTTTCATCCAGAGACAAGAGGCAATCACACTGCCACTGTGGTCATTTGCTGCTTTCCAATGAGTCAGGGTTGTAATTTGAAAATGTATGTGCAGGGGCCACATTGTTTTTTTGATCACCCACTTTGCATTAACCTGTGGCTTTTTCTTGTCAGCTTATGTGTCTTGTTTATTCCCTTTCTTTGTCTTTATTTCAAATTAAAGATAGCTGTCAGCATGCCTAATTGATTTCATTGTGATTTTTAAATGTCCCTTCCAGTTGCTGAGAGTACTTTTTTGTTTTTCTGATTTTGCTATGTTATAGTTGGGAGATAATGGGTGGGTCCTATTTTCCCTGCTGTTGTTCATTTTGGATGAATGTCTGCTCTGATTTATTTAAACACATTTAGTTGAACTGGAATGAAAGCTGTCAAGAAAATGTCTGTTGTGTAAAATGTGCAAACAGAAAAGAATATTATATATAGCTTCTATACATATATATAAATATCAAAAGACAAAGTATAAACTATAAAAACTACCACTACAATCTTTTCTAAGAATGTATTTTGATTATGTAAATGAGCACTTTGATTCTGCTTGATTTAAAAGGAACAAAAAAAGGCCTATTCTTTGTCGTGTCTGTCATATCCTTTAGGTATGAGGGTAAAACAGCAGCATTAAACAAATGCATGATACTTTGTCTCCTGTTCATATTTAAAAAGCTCTGTCTCTTTACCAGCACTGTGTCAGTTAGTGAGACTGTTTTGAGCTTGTCTGGCCTGTCTCACGGGGCCCTGGACTGTAACAACTTTGTTGAGAGGTTCTTATTTTTTGGTGTTTGCGTATCGCTGCTGCTATGAACAACTCTGATCCAATCAGCCTCTGCTATAATGACCTTTGTTGTGTACTTAATTGAGGGTATTCCATTTAATGCATCAGCTGCAAGGACTTTGCATTTACTTACAAATAAAGAGAAACATTTACAGAATATGTAAACACATTTGCTTGGTTTGTTTTTCTTGTTTATATAAGAAAGAAACCAGAGTGGAAAGGTTTATTCAGCCAGTAGAAAGTGTTTAAGGTTGAGGCATTTTAGTTCGGGGGTGAGGTGCTCAGTTTATGAAGCAAACAATCCATTTACTTCCCCCTCCTCCTTTTCCTCCTCCTGTAAATGTTGGTTGTCATGGTTGAAAGAGTCGGCACTCAGAGTACTGAGAGTGCCATGACAACCTGTCAACAAATCAAGCCATCCAAACATGACAAAAGAACTCTGATTGGTGACTTACAGTCAGGTAGTGAAGTCCTAGCCTTTTTAATTACCACAGCAGAGTTTGCCAAGACCTTTAAGTAAGCTCTGTTGCGAGAAGACATAGTGCACCAAATCCTGCTGAAATTCAGTGCAGTGATTGAGCTCACAACGCAAATATTTTACTTGCCATTTGGATCTAAAAGCACAAAAAAAGGACAGAAGGAAAAAAGAAAGAAATTACTAAGGAATTTCTGCATAAAGGTAGCAAAATAGTTGTCTTAGTATCAATATTACAGCTATTATCAGTGTCATGCTTCATGGGAAGAAGTTGGCCAAGCAGGTGCTGCTGCCGTCTGTGCTGGAAGACGATGACGCAGAAACAGAAAGTGGGAAGCTGCAGCTGGGGGAGGTAGGAAACCGACTATGCAGCCAAGTTTGCAAACTCTTGAGCAAGGGAAGTGTGAACGACCAGGTAGGTAAGATTAGATTCTTGAGACTGTTCAAAGGCAGAATTTCAAAAAGCTCGAGATTAAATAAGATATAGGAGACGGACTTTGGGTGAGAACTGAAAGCATGTTATAGACCTGTAAGAGCATAAAAGAGCATAATAGGTTTTAGAAATTGAGATCTTAACCAAATCTCTAGGCACGTCTAAGCACTTTCCTTGCCCTGGGCAAGGAAACACAGCCTCAAACGTACAGACTAAAGACCTGCTGCTTCCTTTTATAAACTGCTCTTTTGACCTGTGTACTCACATGAATGTATTTAAAAGAAGGGGCCTCAAAGTCATGTCCTTGTGTTTTAATTACACTTTTGGGTCCCACTGTATGAGAAATTCACTATCAGAGCTGTGCCCGAACATGTGCAGGACCTGTTCTGCTATGCTAACTAATTCTACTTATGTATTCTGGAAATAACAATATAAAGCATCACTGACTGAGACATATGTGAATGTACCATAAGCTTAGAAATAAAAGGAGTGAAAGGGAGCAAAAATAGCTTGTGGTTGAAGAGGTTAAAGAGAGGTGGGAAGAATGGAGTGGGAGGATAGGGAAGTACTTTCAAAGATTATAAAAACAGAAGGATACGATCTTAAAGACACAAGCCCACACTGATGAACTAAACACTGTAGGTATTGGTTTTATTCTCCTGGCAGTAAAATCAATCAACTCTGCTCACACAGGCAGCGTACAACAGACAGGTTTGACGAGTCACGATGTCTTACTTTCTCATTTTCCATCTAGCCAAGAATGAGCCAGACAGAGGTTGATATGCGTGGGCCAAAAGACCAACACTCAAGCCCTGACAGGAACGTGCTAGACAGAGGCACAAGACACGAGGAAGACGAAGAAAAGGAGCCTGAAGTACAGGAGTGCCTGAGCTCTGATGAGGACTATGATACAGATTTGGAGCTCGAAGGTATAATTTAATTTTGGCAACCAAAAGGAGATCAATTGGGTGGGAATGTTACAATATTTTATCATGTTTTGATAGCAAGTCTTAATTTGCTCTTGTTCACACCATCTAAGATAAGGCAAAGCCCTTTTGTCACCCATCTGTTTTTTTCCTATCTGCCTTTCCATTTTCTCAAACACCAAATGACTTTAAAAAAAAAAAGACACTCCTACATGCACCCACCCACATATGTGGAGTCCTATTCTGCATGTTAATGATTTCATCTGTCTTTGTGTCAGGCTTCCTTTTCACCAGAAATGAAAACCATCTGGTATGAATGAGCTTTCCTGACAGGGCAAAATCAACAACAAGGGATATTTCAATGTCCCACTCAAAAGGTCCTTCAATGGGAAAATGTGCAATATCACTCCTTTTTACACAAAAGGTACGGAGCGTGAACGACTGAGACAGAGTGCTGTCTTTATGTTGCAGGTAAGGAGGCGGCATACGATCTGACGAGGCAGACATGCTATGTGACAGCGTGTAAAAAGTTCCGGGTGGTCCCTGCCTCTTATTTCCTGCAGCATATGCAAAATAGCACACTGGTTATGATGCATCGTGGCCTGGGGCCTCAGGTATAGTAAAAAATAAGGCAACATTTTTAAAATTATTAGAAAGACAAAAAGGCTGATACTTTCATGGAAGGCTTTGGAGTTTGAGTTTCTGGTGACAAAAGAAAAGATTGTCAATAGTGCAGGGGAAGATGATTAATTTCTTTATTCTGTAGCTCTTTTTCTCCCTAAATGTTCCTATTTTATTATTGTTTTAAGAAATATGTTTATTGTTAGTATCATAAGTAATAATAATGCAATAATGATAATAATAATATTACCAACAAAAACATTTATACATGTTATTAATAAGCGCATCTACAGTATTATGAAAAAAAAAGTATTGGGCCACCTCTTAAACCTTTAAATGTCATGATGATAGGGAGAATTTTTAAAGTGGTCTTGAACAGTTCTCCAGGGTTTCTGAACGTCTTTCAAAGGCTTTCATTGGACATTGGCTGCTTTTTCATTTTTAGTCCAGTCCTTTTACCTGACAATTTTCAGAAGAATGTTTTTTCTGTGTTTAGTACTGACCTATGAATCACTCAGGCACAATGAATCAATGAAACAGTGAACTCATTTTAAATTTTATCTTTAGGCACTTTGTTGCTATCAGTTGGTTGTAAAATACATTAGGTACAGGAATAAATTAAGTTACCACAGTGATTTAGCCAGGTACAAAGCGAGACACTTTTGTGATACAGAAAAGTCTCACTTTAAATTCCAAGTAGCTTGCAAAACCATTAATCTTAGTTTGTAGTGCACCTGTGAAACCTACCCCTCCTGGAGCTGGGTTCTGCCAAAGGTTTCTTCCTGTTAGTCCTGTAAGTCTAGGCCACTACAAAACCTTCATTTTTGTCAGCTGTGGTTTTTGTGAAGACTGGCTGTGTATCAGGCAGGAGTAGGACCCAAAAGCAGGACATATAAACACAAGGGGTAAACTAAAAGCAGCTTTATTTAACTGAAAGTAGGTACAAAAGTCAGAAAACATGTAAAACCACATCAATGAGACTTCAGGGGCAATATACTGCAAGGGAGGGCAAAACAATGAGGAACAACACCACAAAAAACAAAGGGAGATTCTGATCATATATACATGTCAGGTAATTAGGATTAGAACACAGCTGAACAGAATCTAGCTAATGAGACAAGGTGGAAGGAGGAAAACTGAACATCGCATACACAGCACAGGAGACTATCAAAATAAGACAGGAAGTAACACACAGACTGAGAGCAAGACAGACACGTGAACTTAAATGTAATGGAATGAGTTTCCTCCATTTGTTGATAATGACTTTCACTCTAAGGCTTTGTAATTCTTTTTGGACAAATAAATGTCAATGATTTTGTTTCCCAGCTGTTCTTGACTTTCTTTAAGTCACTGCATGATTTGTTGTTTTTTCTATTTAAGCGATTTATTGATTTGACAGGTGTAGCAGTAATTAGGCAAAGGTATGGCTAAAGAAATTAGACTTAGCTTTTCAAAAAAATCAGTTTATTCACAGTTTATTCATGGGTTATAAATGGGGCAATTATTTTCTCACTTGGGGCCAGGTAGTTTTGGATAATCATCACATAAAAACTGCATTTTGTATCTACGCGGACAAATATGCCAAAAAAAAAACCCAACCCCAGAGAGAGAGAAAATAAATCAGGAAAGAGCCAGAAAAAAAGTGTTAGCATAAAACTAAACTGGTAGTTTGGCTGCAGCTGGCTGTTATTTTCAGTGATAGAAAGTAGTCAACTGGCCACTAGACACTACTGAGGCCCAGCATTTCCCTCGAACCAAAAAGCAGTACCAAGAGAGGAAAAAGCTGAATTTACATTTGCCAGGTGGCCAGGAATACAAAGATGTCCTCTGACCTAACAACATTCTGCCCTACTTCGTGTTGAAATTTAGTTCTACCCAAACAGTAAAATCAGATATTGCGATTTTAAGGTATTTAAAAGAAATAGTATACTGAAGGTAAAAATTTTAACTGCTTTCCATCAGCTTTGTATTCATTATATTCTGTGCAATTTTGGGATTTACAGTAATCAAACTATATTAATATCAGAGTTAGAGTGTTATTACCCCAAAAACCACAAATTAAACTGGAGACTGAAACCAAAACTTATTTTAAAAAAAAAAAAAAAAAGGGGGGGGGCTATTTCAATAATTGAGTAATCTAAGTAGTTAGAAGTTAGAAATTTAAAATTTAGTTTAATAAATTCAAGTAGTTTTAGAGTTTTGTTCCAAACAGACCGCACCAGAGAAACAGCCACACTGTGTTTAATATAGTCTTTGCAGCACTTTATGATTTCTCCCTTAGTGCATTTCATTTATTAGACCTGTCAATCTACACCCTCAGCAGCTATGCCTGGAACATTTCAAAGCATACAATACAGCTAATTTTTTTCACAGTTTTTAGCCTTATCAGGGTCACTGAAAACATTTTTATCTGGTGTTAAAAAGTCAACACATCATTCAACATATTTCTTTCTGGCTTTAAACAGACTTTAAAGAGATGATTTTCAAGCTATTGAGGGTTAGGTACCAAAGAAAACGATGACACCATTATAAAACTGCGGTCATGCTGTATTAAAAACTGACACAGAAGGTTCAGGCCAACCCCCACAACCCTTCTCTTTTTGTGTAGAATGGAAGAATATCTCTCTTTTCTCTCCCTGGCTCACTCATCAGATCAGTTTCACCTGATGGAGGATATTTGAAATGAACCAACTGTGCAAAGGTCCTCACATGCATGTGAAAACATGCGTGTGAGTACCAGCTAGGCATGTTCAAAATCTTGTAACAGTATTTTAGATTAATCCAGGCTTTTACTCAGTGTTACTAATTCAAAGTCACATGGCTCCTTCAGGATAGATGATCATGAGATCTTTAGTAGTCAGTTCTGTGTCCAAGTCCAGCGCAGAGCGAGATTCAAAGATTTCAGTTCTTTTTCAAGGACACGGAACATAAATGGATCATCCCCAACACTTAATCATCTGTCTCCTATTGTGCTGATCCTCCTCCCAACAAAATACTTTAAACCAACCGAGGCAATCAAAACTTCAAAAGTTCACTGTGGTAGCAGTAGTAGTGATGCTACATTGTAAGTTTTATTAATAAAGTAAGCTATTGCTTCTTTGTGAGAAAAACACAAACAAATAAACACCATTGCATTGTTTAGATCATTTTCATTTCCATGCACTGACTGCAGCTTAGATTTTTTGAACAAGATGATGTAGCTGTAGATGATGTAGATGATTTAGATGTTGCTTATTAATTTGAAGAGCAAGAGCTTTAGCCAGCCTTAAAGTTAGATATTGTTGATTTGTCTTCTCTCCACTATTTTGTAAACCTAATGTGCAAAGTTTGCAAGCGTCCTTGGTCAGATTTGTGGTCAAGTTCTTTGCAGCTAACAGATACTTATCAAACAAAGCACGATTTGCATTTCACTGTGATGTTTTTCTTGTCTTAGCTAGTGGTAATGACCATTAAAGTTGCAGTAATGGATTTTTAGATGAGATAATAAAATATGCTATCAGGATTTTTACCTTAAAACATGTACCAAATCTACTCAAAACACATTAACACTAATATTGCTTTTCCTACATGATCTCCATACATTTGATTTATGCAGCAAGCGGTATTGTTAATTGTCACATTTTATCCTAAAGCCCCATTACGCTTTTCCTGCATCCCGTCTACAGTACTTGTTGTTGACAGCATTTGACAGTTCCGTTTGTAACAAGATAATCAATGTTATGACTTACCTGTCAGTTGTTTTCATTTTGTGGATACATAGCTTTGATGCTGTAGTCTGTTATATAGACCTCACCAATACTTACTCCATTATTTCACCTCTTAAGAAAACAAGCTTCTGTTCTTCTATTTTCATTCTATTGATCTATGCTGATAGAGAAAACCTATTTAATTACATGGTCCTGCTAAACATTAGAGACAAGATTATTATAGTGTCACAACCTGAAATAAACAGATTTGCACTACATTTAGTATTAAACATTAACATTTCCATACATATACACATCATTAAGGTTTCTTTATTATTCTTACAATATACTCATTTAAAAAAAGAAGAAGCACAAAACATTCAACAAAACAAAATTTAAAATTGTATTTTTGTCAATTATGACCCTTATCTATCCCTAGTAATCGATACTAATTACTGTCCTTTTTTTCATAGTAATCAGTGTAAAATACCTCTTTGGTTTTACATATCCGACTGAGGGATGAATACATTCTTTCCAAAACTGAAACTGGTCAGGCAGGGGCTTTCAGCTGCTGCACAGTTTGACATTTTTACAGGCTTGCACTGCTCTATAATGGTGTAAATGAAAGTTATAAAAGATAAATTCATTCCTCAACCAGCTCATTCCGTAGGTTCCAGCACCAGGAACATCATTCAGACAGATTAAATTGGATTTTAAATATGTCTTTATCTGTCATACACAAAGGGTAAAATCAAAAAGTGTGACTTCCAAAGGTTATCTGTTTTATGTCTAGGAAATTGATACGCTTTTTAAATCTTACAGAAATTTACTTTGCTTGCATTTAAACGTGATATACCCCAATGAGGCAGATTCTGTCCTATTTATCATCAAGTCGACTCAGTTAAGGCTTCATGCACTCAACTTTCTCATTAGCCATGCTAGAAACAATAATTTTCATGTGCTGTGAGTTTCATTTCTGACCTACGCCTCCACATCGCTCCCTTCTGCTTCATTTGTCTTGTACAGGTTTAATATTCCCCTCTCTCTCTCTGCCCACCTGTGTGAGTACATCTTTTAACAGGAATGCAGATAAGAATATATACTGCTGTGAACAAACAGAAGAAATTCACTTTGAGGATGGGTTGGGGGGGTATGGTTGTGTATTTTCAGGGCACCAAAGCACTGGCGGTTCCCCTGGTAACCAACACTTCAATACTGCGGCTGAACCTGCGAGATAATTGGATGGAAGGCATGGGTGGAGCTGCTATAGCTGAGATGTTAAAAGGAAATTGCTACATTACAGGTGGTTTTACTGTGATTTACTGTGGACTCAACACGTTGTGTTCTTTTTTTCTTTATACTTCTTAATGGCAAAGGTGGGACCCCAACATCAACATATTCAACATTTTCCGCCAATAAATATAAAACACTTACCATCTCAAGTTTCCCTTTTATATCTGTTCTTTCTCATATTGCACTACTTGTATGTGCAGTTTGGAACATGAGAACACTCTAAAGAGAAGAACACCTATATATGGTTCCTCTACATATCATTATCCCAAAGCCTTAAAGTCCCATAAGGTGAAATTTATCCTATACACAAGATCATTGTTAGAACAAATCATTATACTGTGCAAGAAATTTTAATTTCCTGTAGGAACATGTTACTTTGTTGCAATTTATAATAAGATCTTGTGCAAACAACTTCAGATGCACACAGTCACATATTAGAGACAACACAGCTAATCAAGTTTTAACTCAGGAATGTCATGTTGTTTTTATGTATTTTTTACATAACATATTATATATTTGTCTGATAATTTCCACATTTTGTCTGATCAGTTCCTAACAACATTTAAATTTACAATAATGAATCACACCGCAGTGGGGAATATATTTCATCACAGTCTTACTGAAAGTGCAGTAACTAGTTTACGAATATTCCTCCATTGTTATCTTCTTCAATGCTATGTGTCAACATACTGCAGACCAGCTACCTGAACTTTACCCCCACAAAGGTTGATTATCTCATTAATAAATTTACATCTTCACTGAATATGATTCCAGATACAGTAGAAAATGAAAAAGCATCAAATCACAAGTATTTGATTCTCTGGTATAACTCTCAAAAATGCACCATAAAAGAGATAACTTGTAAGCTGGAGTGGAAATTGTCTCACCAATTTAGAAGATCATCATTTAGCAAATAGTTTGTTGCTCTATAAAAATAAATAAATAAAAAATCCACAAAGCTAGAACATCTTCATCATTGATTGAAAAAATAAGAACATTTGAGTTGGCTTCAGTAATTCCTCCAAATCATCAATGTGTTTTTTTAGATTCCATTCCTACAAGAGTGTTCAAAGAAGTCCTACCATTAACCTTTAATGCTTCAATCTTAAATATGTCTCTATTAAGCTACATATCACGGGCCTTTAAGATGGCAGTAGTTAAACCACTATTTAAAAAGCTAATTATAAGCCAAGCTCCAACATTCTTATTCTCTCATAATAATAGAGTAGTTGTAAAAAAGCTAACTGATCATCGGTTGAGGAATGGTTAATTGAAAGAGTTTTAGTCGGGCTTCAGAGCTCATCACAGTACAGAAAGAGATTTAGTGAATGTTACAAATTATCTTCTTATGGCCTCTGTTAAAAAGTCCTTGGGCCAGGGCATGCGTTACCTGCATGGGAGGAGCATGATTCCCCCAGGGGCCAACAGCCAATCAGAATGCTCACCCATTCTCTCCTTGCTGTGGCAATTAAAAGTGTAGTCGGAGAGTAACACTGCTGCAGGCAAGTTATGGACTTGAGTTGAATCGGACTAAGGCGGGCAAGTAACCACATCCTTACTTGCCAGAGAGTGTGTGTGTTCGATGTGGGCTCGTGGCAAATAAAGTTCTTCCACTCTGACATCATTCCCCGTCTCTGACCGGATTTTATTACCAGGTAACAGTACCGAATCACGTTTCAGAGATAGTGGTCCAGGGCGTCCGCTATAACAAGTGGTCCTCGGAGCCAGATCTGATCCCTGTAATAAAAGCATGGAAGAACAGCACGCCAGGAGACACCAGGCTCTTCCTGCCCATCTTCGAGGAGTGACTATCTCCCCCGGGGGAGATCATCACTTCCCAGATCAGCACACACTCCCCCGCCGCGTTGGAGACATGAGGAGGAGCCTGGTGGGGCTCATGGATCTCCTCGGTCTGAATCTCCGGTCACTCAGGATAGTTTCCAGTCTGGATGGGACATCAGGGATCGATGGGAAGAGGACACCGAAATGTTGCAGCAGGAGAATAATAGATTGAGAAGCGAGCAGAAAGCCTTGCTGGAAGCATTGGACCAGTTGCGATTGTAGAATGCAGAGCTGGCTAAGAAAAGTGACCAGAGAATGGACCAGCTTCACCCCCAGGCTACAAATGAGACAGAGCAGTTACGTGAGCAACTCAACCACCTCAGCAGTGTTATTACTCAGTTGCAGAGTGCATGTGATACACGACCTCCTCAACAGTTCAAGCGAAGGGACCAGTCTGCCAAGCTGGATCGGCAGGCCAGTCCTGGCCATCACAGTGGAGCAGAGTCTGATGGTGGCAAGAAACTGCATGCAGCTTCAATCCAAGGAGTTAAGGGACACATTCTCCCAGGACTTGATATGACAATGCCATATGAGGGGGCTCTGCGGGAACCTGTTAGGCAGCCAGATTCAGCTTGTCAGCACCCTTAAGAACATATAGCAACACGCCGGCATTCTCTCGAAAGGTACGCTGTTCATTCCAGACATCTTACCCGTCCCTCGAAGAGGATGGCAGCATCGGTATTGGACACCCAGCACTCTCGACGAAGAAGTTGTGATTACTCACCTGAGGGTTTCACCTTGTCAGAGAGAAAACAGCATGCAGCATCATCGTGTCACCCTCGCAGTTTGGACAGGGATTATTACCGTTTCCCAGAGCTGCCAACTGGAGGTTGGGATTGCCCCCATCGAGAGTATGGGTCGCATTACCAGGCCCCTCCAAGACCCGCGCACTCGGAGTACTATTCGTACTCTAGATCCCGACAGCCGAGCCCGGTGGGGGGTCAGGAGCGCTATTATAGGGGGTCAGCACCTACAATCCCATATTTTGTACACCCAAATCCTCAAGAGTTTGCAAGGCTGAGGATCGCATTGGAAAAAAATATCCTCCCAGCCGACGCAACAGAACAGTTTAAATTCCAAATACTGGTAGACCATCTTAAGCTGGAGGAGGCCCTGCTTATTGCTGACTCCTATAGCCATTCTAGGCACACTTATACCAACACAATGGATGCCCTCAACCAGGAGTATGGACAGCCGCATCAACTGGCACTCCAGCGTATAGCAGAGTTAATGGACGGGCCACCTGTTATGTCAGGAGATACCAAGACCTTCAGGATGTTTGCACTAAAGGTAGGCTCCCTGGTCAGCATGCTTGCACAATTAGGAAGGAAAGGAATTGTGGAGCTGGAATTTGGGTCCCACGTGTCAAGGTTGCTTGAAAAACTGCCGCATGATTTGAGGTCCAGCTTCCGTCGATATATTCATCTTCAAACCATCCCCATTCCTACACTGACTGACTTCTCACACTGGCTTGAATATGAGCTGCAGGTGCAAGTCGACATGGCATGGTTCAGCTCAAAGAGAGCAACGTTTCTGATGGCAGAGGACAGGAGGAAGTTCACCGGTAAGACAACCACAATACTGTTGAACACTGAGCCCCAAGAATCTGGTGCCGCTCCAACAGTGGCAGCAGCCAAACACAATGGGAAGAAGTATTGTCCTTATTGCAACAGCGTCGATCACTCTTTAAACAACTGCTCAAATTTCAGACAGCTACACAAAGCACAAAGGCATCACTGGATCAAGAGTAACAACCGGTGCTGGTGCTGTGGGAGGACCCACCATGCTGCAGAATGCGATCTAAAGATGCGCTGTAAGACATGCAACCAACAACATCTCCTTGTCCTCCACAAACTCAATGACAGGTCCACTAAAAATGTGCAAGCCGCCCAGGCCTCTTCTGCAACAACAGGCTCAGGTACTACACGAGTTGGAGAGGAAGAGTTGTACATTGACAAACCACTAGGAGGATGTAAAGTCCTATTGAAAATCAGTTTTACTGAGGAATGGCGATCGAGTCCTAGAGACTTATGCTGTCTTGGATGACGGGTCTGAGCGGACCATCCTTCTCAGGACCACTGCGCAGCAGTTAGGGTTAAAGGGGCAGAGCGGAGGTTGTTAAAGTCATCAGAGAAGGTCCTTTGCTACACAACTGAGATTCAGAGACTACAACGTGAAGGTTTTGTTGTCAAGCTTGAGCCTGGAGCTGACAACACTCCTGCTAGCTGGTATATCCCACACCAAATGGTGCAGCATAACGGCAAGAATCGAGTTGTGTTCAATTGCTCATTCCAGTTCCAGGGGCAGAGCCTCAATGACCATCTCCTCCCTGGACCTACTTTGGGGCCAACCCTCCTGGCAGTGCTTTTGAGGTTTCGACAGCACCCCGTCGCCTTCAGCAGCAACATCCGTAGGATGTTCCATCAGGTCCGCCTACTAAAAGAAGACCAGCCACTCCTCCGATTCCTCTGGCGGGACTGTAAACGTGACGACCCCCCTTTTGTATAGGAGTGGAGAGTACTCCCTTTCGGCACCACATGTAGCCCCTGCTGCGCTATCTTTGGGGAAGACGTCCGTGAGACTGTGATGTAATCATTCTATGTCGACAACTGCCTCCGGAGCTTGGCGACAGAGGTAGAAGCTAAAGTACTTGTGGAGAAACTACAGAAGCTTCTGGCTGATGGAGGTTTTGAGTTAAGACAATGGGCCAGTAACCAGCCCTCAATCATCAGCCACCTGCCCCCAGAGCTTAGATCAGACAGCGCTGAGCTCTGGATCACACATGGCAAACCTGATCAGAAAGAAGCTGCACTGGGGCTCCATTGGCACTGCTCATCAGACAGGCTGTACTACAAGCTCCACACTCTTGACCATCCTCAGGGTGACCCTGCGCACAGTCTACAAGGTTTTAGCGAGTCAGTACGACTGACTTGGCTACATTGTGCCATACACCACAAGAGCTAAGATTATCGTTCAGCAGATGTGGGCTTCACGGACTGACTGGGATGACCCCAACCTTCCTAAGGACCTTCTCCAGGCCTGGAATGAATGGGAGCAGGACTACATGGATGTACTATAGATTGGAGGTTTAATAGTCATGTGTTCACAAGATTAAAACAAAAAACAAGCCCAATTAATCTTTAGATGGATATGAAAAGTAAATGAGTCATGTTTACTGAAAAACACTGAAGCCAGTGATACCATGCTGTTATCATCAGCAGGCTATCAAGCTCCATTGACCACTCTATCATGTTTATGTGAACGATAAAGATAATCTTTTTCTGTTGAGGCTGGCAGAATTGTTGTAAGTATAAAACTGGTTTAAACAGAACGTTTGACCTTATGACTTATAGAAAGTGAAGGTATCACTGAATACAAGATAATGGTGGAGGTCAGCGTGAATGTCTGTAAATGTGCACACTTACAAAATGTTTTACTGAGAGACACAAATGTTGACCTAAGGGTGGTGCTTGAAGAAAACTAGCTTATTGGGATTCATCATTAGAGCAGTCTATCCAGTCTGTTTCAGTAAAAGCCAAAGCATGTTGCAGCTGCTGCTGGTGCTAGATAAAATATTAGGGATCAGGAGAAGTAGTTATAATTCAGTTTCGGGGGGGATAGGAACGCCTGTAATCGTGAACCAAATTGCTGGTCCAGTTGATTTGCTGCAGTTGAAATGCACATTGTCACTATATACTAAATGCATCATTTCTCAGTTACTTTTGTGTTTTGTGTTTTCAGATGGTGATAAGCCATCAAAAAATCCAACTTAATTCATTTTTAATTTAAAAATTAGTTGATTAACTTAAATAGTATGCAATAGCTAGGAAGGTCATTTCAGACACATTGCTATAGTAGTGAGAAGACAGTATCTAAAAACAGTGATTTATTTTTCAGATTCAAAAGCTTTATCAAATGCACTCCCCAGCTAAACCTATCGCATTTAAACTGAATTTTCCTCTACCTCCTCCCAAAGGAAATTTACTCCAAAAATAGAGACAGTATGTGAGAAATATGTGAAATTCAGAAAAAATAAAGCAGAGGAAATGATTCATCTTTTTTTGTGAAATACTGTACTGCAATAATGACAATTACCAAATGCTCAAAAACATTTTGAGAGTGCTATTTGGTCTTTTTGGAACCTTCTTGTGTTTAGTTTACTTGCCACTTTTATTGGTCTCTTTTCACCTTGCATGATGTTTCAATTTGTGTGTCAATCCCAGAGGTGGACCTGTCCAATAACAATCTAGAGGTTTATGGAGCCAAAGCCATAGCTGGTATGCTTAAAGAGAACAGCACCCTGGTGAGACTCATTCTGTCAGGAAACCATTTTACAGACCGGTCCACTGAACACCTCTGCCCAGCGCTGATCACCAACACCAAACTACAGCACCTCGACCTCAGCTACAATGCTCTGGGGGAGAGTGCAGGTAGCAAAGTAATTAGTTTTGTAAAGGTCTCGTAGTTTCTATAAGGCTGTAGCCTTTCAAAGATTGAAACAGTACCCATGACTCCAGTTTTTATTAAGATGATATTAAAGATTTGTGCAAGAGATACAGTTTTTCACATATTTTCCATTAACAGCACCAGATAACTGAACTTCAGGACCTAGAAATTATATGTTGCATCAATAAATCGCAAAAGACCTTAAGGCAGTGTGGGGAATAGGATGTAAATTCTTTTTCTTTGCTTTTCATCTTAATTTGGGCCTTTAAAAAAATCTGCCCTCTGATTTCCTGATTTCCACGAGAAACCAGCAGCAGAGATTAGAAGGCACAGACAAGATCCATTACTAATGTTGGCCTAAGGTGTAGCTGCTAGTTTTAATTTTGGTTAGCCAGATAGGATTAAAGGGTTAACTGGGCAAACTGGAGAGCACAGTCCAAAATATTAGTGTAGACTACTATATAATTGTCCTGTAATTTCACTTACAGTGTAGATAAAACCATTGAAAATATAAGGCACACAACTATTTAAATACACTCATTGGTGCATAGTTTCCCTTTCCATCTTTTGAAGATAGTTTTTAAAGACAAGCAAAATAATTTATTTAAGGATTTTATTGCCTAAAATCAACGTTATTCTGTGTTTACTTTTCTTTTTTATCTGTACATAAATGAGTAGAACAAAATTGATATAGGATTTTTAAGGCCAAGAGATAACAATACAGAAAATTGTATATACATATTAGCCAGTATTCGTTTTTCTTTCAGGCACACAAAACATAAACAGATTTCCTAGCATTTGTTATCTATAGTTATTTGTCTAGAGTGCCCTCTGTTGGACAAACTATGTAATGCCAATACTCATAACATGGCTAAAGAATGTTTCTCCCACTACTTACTTACTTTTTTTTAATCACACGTTATAAATACTGATATCTGTAGATCAGCAAGTAGTAATATCGGCCTTTGTATCAGCCCACCCATAAATTGGTTGGATACCATCAATGATTATTTTCAATATGCCAATAGCTGCTGAAGTCATCGTATATGCTATTTTTGCTCTCTTTTCCATTTATAATTAATGTACAATAAAGGCCTGTGAAGTGACTATTACTGCAGATTTATTTAACATTAGGACTATACTGTATGTAAGCATGTAAGCAGAAGGGGGGTGGGAGAGGGGTTCTGCTGTCATAAAAGATTTTGCCATAATGGTGCAGCCTTATCTCCAAGCAGTCATAAGACAGCATGCAGCAGCAGATTGTGGCATTCAAAGGTCAAGCACATTTCGCCTTCATTAAAACCTCTTTCAATTATCATGCGGATGAGCTTTGTGACAGGCACCTTGTGGAAGAATGGCAGACCAGAGCACTGAGCATCTGATATAGATAATTGAAAATAAATCTACATGAGGGAAAGAGGACACCACCATATCTTATCGCTATGATTCATCCCCACATGCTCTATCCTGTATTCCTCAATGCTTCTGCTGATATGTCAAAGTACATTTTTATGTGTTTTAAGCGCACTCTAGCATGTACCAAAAGTGTACCAGTCAAACACACTGACATTCATGCTATGGCATTATGGCTTTTCCAGCTGAGCACATTATCTTGAGTGATTATGAACCACCGAGTGTCATGCAGTTTTTTATATTTATGGAAAATGTCAGTGACATGATGAGGGGTATATATTTTTGTCCAAGATAGTTACCTCTATAGTCGTCACTCAGTAAAGCGTTAAGGGAATATAGTGGAGATGATACAATATATTACATTAGATACACATTATAATTATTCATGAATAATGAATAAACAGACTCACTATTTCTAAACAAGCCTTTATATGAGGATGAGTACATTTCATTGTTTTAAAAATGCAATAATGCAACTATTTATTTTATCAAATTGCTCTGAATTATTCTTATGTTCATTTTCTATTTTCACAAGGGGAACACATGGGAGATGCTCTGTCTGAGAACACTGGGCTGAGATCGCTAAACCTGGCATGGAATTGCATTCGACAAAAAGGAGCAGTAATGCTGGCCAATGGTCTTGGGGTAATACACTTGGACATGAATGTGTAAATCCTAGATTAGCTTTCTGACCTTATGCAAGACAAAGAAGATCTAATGGTACAGTGAAAAATAAGACTAAAGTACATTGATTAGTTGAAGCCATCAAATAACAAATTATCCTAAGTTAAAATAGTGGTATGTCAAATGAAAGTGGCTAAAAATATCACATCTGGTGTTAGGCATAAATAATTTACCAGTCAAGTAAAAATATTTAACTTCATGTGCATAACCAAAAAATGTATACTTGAATCTAGTAACCCTCCATTTTCCAACTCCACATCCCAGTTACATCAGATTTTGCACAACTTCCCCTAAAGCTATGAAAGGCTTTATATAACTTCCTCATATCTGCATTTGTAACCAATGAAACCAGTAAAAAAAAAAAAAAAACAAACACAAAACATGAAAGTAAGTCCCTCTTTAAAATGGCCTTGAACTGAAAAATTGGGAATCCAATAAAAGGAAAGTACAAAAAAAAAAAACGTTTGTGAACTGTACCTTTGGCCACCCACCTTTGACAATATTTATACATAAAGCGATCTGTTTATCTGAATTGATAATGACTGAAATTTTGACTAAGTGGAGTGGAAACTCCCAAACCAGGGATACTTATCTGGTAAAAGAATTATAACAACATCATAATGATGCTACACTGACATCAAAACCTATTAAGATTAATAATATGGTAATTGCTAATTGCAGACGACATCTCATATCTTGGCTGACTCCCTTATCCTGCTTTGTGAAGCAGCCCCCCAGGCAGGTATTCATCAAGCATCTCACTGCAAGAGAAGCTATACAGTAGTTTTCCTTTCCCTATCTTATTGACCAACATGGCCAAGTGGACCCTGATCACTGGCAGGTATGATTGATTCACACCCTGGCAGGGATTTTTAATTCAGAATCTATACTTCACTGTCATTTTTAAAGTAAGATATTTCTTTTGTTGAGATTTAATCTTGTTAGAGAACTTGTTCAAGTTGTCCCTTTAAGTATTGATACATTCTTTTGTGTGTTTCAGGAAAATGTTTTTCTTAGAATACTGGATCTGTCATTTAATGGCTTTGGGAAAGAAGGAGCCAGTGCTTTAGGACAGGCTCTTAAAGAGAACAATGTTTTAGAAGAGTTAAATATCAGGTATGTGTCTTTGTTGTGTTACTATCGAATGATCAGATTAGTGAGTAGAAATTGAGAGCTCAAGCCACGATCATTTTCACAAATTAGAATTCACAATCTTATCTTTCACATTGTTTATAAACTTCCTGGCGAGTTCAAACTACTCTTCCAGACTGATTCTAATCGATTTTAAATGGTGATTACCCTTTTTCTTAAAGAAAGAAATCAAATAATCCAGTTTCCTCTGCCGTTTGCTTAACTTTTTTAGTAAAACAGAGCTTGCTTTACAAATTCACTTGGATGAATAATGCCATTTAAAAAAGTAACACTTTATGATTGCTTCCCTCACACTCCAACACACACTCTTGTTTTCTGCTTTTGTTTCTCGCCACAGTAACAACCGAATACCCCCTGAAGGAGCGATCCACCTCGCCATGGGCCTCAAAGTAAACAAGACAATCAAATCCCTGAATGTAAGCTGCTGAAAAGAGATTGGTTCTAGCTTCACGAGCAATGGGGGGCATCAGTGGATAAAATAGGATAAATAAATGGATCAGTGTACTTCATTTTAATGTAAATGCTCAAGCTGAATTGTCAGGTGCTCAGCTCAGCTGACTGAAAAAGTTATAGAGAACATGCTAAATTGAGTTAAATTCTGCCAATTGGATACTGACTGCTTGTGCGCTCCTGTGTTCGAAATCTGTCATAGCATATGCAAGTTTTAAAATGTACGCAAACTAATGAACAATCTTTGAAGATTAATCAATTGAAAATTCTTTGATATGCGAAGCATCCAAATATTCCTGAAACAAATTATACTTTGTTTGAAAGCATAAAGGTTCACAATAAAATAATAAAATCATTGTGAGAAACTCAGACTAAGCAACAATAGCAGCAGTTGCTTCTTTTAATATGATAGCACACTAACCCAATTGTGAATATAGCTGAAATAGTAGTCCTGGGTGGTCTTTGTCATTGTTTTTTATTTTTTCAGCTTATAATGCTTTCAGGCGGTGAAAAGTCTGTGCTGCCGGCAGGACATTTAAGCACTTGTACTCTCTTTCTAAGAAGAAATTGTTTTGATAGCTGCAGTATATTGTTTTTAGCATTGTCTTTTTCAGACCTTCTTAAAAAAGATGTTGTTTGGATGACAGCATATTTTGCCCAATATATAAAATCTGTTTCAGTCATGATGATTCCTTTCCAGAGGCACGAGCTGCAATTTCCATAGGCATTGATATACCCCCATACCATCAGAGGTATGCAGGATTTTAAACTAAGTTTTGATAATAAGTCAGACAGTCCCTCTCCTCTTTAATCTGGAGGATGCAGGGCCTATGATTTCCACAACGAGTTTCAAATTTTGACTTGTCTAACCACAGAACAGTTTTCCACTTTGCCTCAGTCCATTTTAAATTAGCTTTGGCTGACAGAAGATGGCATTTCTGGATAATGTTCACATATCTTTGCATCACAGAGCTTTAACCTGCATTTGTGGATGGCACGGCGAACTGTGGTCACAGAATTCTGGAAGTGTTCCTTAGTTCAGTTTCCCTGATAGACACCCTGTCTGTTTTTAAAGGCAGTGCTGCTCTAAGATACTCTTTTCATACCTAATCATTTTCCTGACCTGTACTCAGTTTTTCCAGATGTTTCTTTCTAGTAAGCTATTTTTTTAGCCTTTTTTTACTCCTCTTTGGAGACGTGTTGCTGAATTAAAAATGGCATAATATTCTTCATGAAATAGTAAAATGTCTTGGTTTAAGCATTTGAATTGTTTTCTATCTTCTACTGTGAATAAAATATGAGTTTATGACATTTTTACATTTCATTACATTTTTTGCTCTCTGTTTTATTTTGTTTCTGTTAACATTTTCATTTTGGAATTGTGTTTGCACCTATACTGACTTCATTATTTGAAATGCTGGTTTCTCATGAGCGAACTGTCTCCAAACTTTTAGTCATCATTTAAAAAGAGGTGTGTGTGTGTGTGTGTGTGTGTGTGTGTGTGTGTGTGTGTGTGTGTGTGTGTGTGTGTGTGTGTGTGTGTGAAGGAAATCTCCGTCCCTGGTTTCTCCGTGGATCGGGTTTCCTCCGAGGCGTGGGCACCTATAAGCAGAGTTTTGTATAAGATTCAAAATTATTCAAAGTAACACTCAGGTATGCCGTTCAGCTGGGTTAGTTACGACGTCGGGAGCAGTTAGGAGAACAAAATGATACAGAGACTGTTCAGGTTGCTTTCCCAAAATCAACTCAAAGGTTTATTCATCAGACAACAGTTTATATAGAGGAAAAAGGTTCGTGTGTCAGCAGATTCTCAGTTCAAACCGGTACAGACCAAATAAGGAAACGTCTTCCTGCCCTCTGAGCAAAGAAGTATCCTTTGTATAGTTTATCAGTTCAACTACAATTTATGATTATCCCAGCAAAATACACTCCTAGACATAGAATACAGAGTTCTTTCATTAGTGAATTCTGAAACAAACCACCTGGCCTTTAACAAGCCTTGTTCTAAGAGATAAAGAAGGGAAGATGGGAGTAAGGGAGTGATCTCTGTGGTGTTTTCAATCTTGAGGTACCATCCTGTGATTCTTACACATTAATTCTTGGGTCACAGAGAAAGAGAAAAACAACTAGTAAATGGGCCTTATTGAGTAACAGTTTTCCTGTATAATATCACTATAAAACAATATCCTGTGTGTGTGTGCGCACGCGCGTGTGTGTGTGTGTGTGTGTGTGTGTGTGTGTGCGTGTGTGTGTGTGTGTGTGTGTGTGTGTGTGTGTGTGGTGTTAAGAAGGTGAATTTGTATCTGCTTCTATTATTTCAGCTGTATTTTTCCTTGTATATTGTTTAGATTGACTCTGGAGAATTACATAATGCAAATTTTGAATTAAAATAATAATAGACCAAATTTTTGCATGCCTGCAAAAATATAACTTTTAATGCCAGCTTATTCCTTTATTCCTGGGATGATCCCAGGAATAAAGGAATAAGCTGGCATTTGGGGACATACCATAGATATAAATGAATGTCTACCTCTACCAGCTGGTTAGTTTAGTGGAGTATAAACACTGAAAAATAGTGGCTCTGTGATTACACAGTCTGCCTAACACTGTCTGACGTGTTGTAGTTTGTTTAATCTGTAGAAAAACTAAAGCGTAAGGAAAAACAGTTTCTAGTTTTATGGGAATTACAAGTACAGCTTTCTTGGCATTAAGCGGTATAACAGCAAAGACTCCAGGAAGTTATTGGTTCCTTCCCAGAACCCACATAAACAGCTAATTATCATTTTTACAAAAAAAATTGCATTCAACTAGTTAATTATTGAATTTCATAAGTGCTCTTGGCTGGACTTGGCTAAGTTAATTGACTAACTTCACGGGAGCTGAACAGATGTGAGAAGTGTACCGATTTTGGCATTTAAATCTCCACCAGAATAAGAAAACATGATGAACTATTTTTTGTACATAGCTTCACTGAGGAGATATGATGATATGAAGGGTAGAAATATTTTTTAAAGTCAATAATAGGAAGGTTCTTCATCACTTGCCTATCCAGAACATAACAATTTTTACTGTTTTTTCTTGTGTACTATGTGTAACCAGATTGGTAGGAACCCCATCCTGAATGCTGGATGCTATGGGATCCTTAAATCTGTACAGGACAACCCAGATTCAGCCTTGGAGACTTTAGACTTTTCAGTAAGTCACACGTCTTAGGTCCTTGACATTTTTTCCAAGTGTTCTCTTATTCACTAGTTCCTCTGTGTATCACTTTCTCTAGGACATCACAGTAAGCCGGGATTTTGACGACTTGTATACAGCAGTGAAAGAAATATTCCCTGCGCTTAGAGTAAATCATGGGGGCTGCTTTGGCACATTCAGCAAAGCAAAAGCTTGAAAAGTGTTACTGTAATTGCTGTACTTTTATGCCAGCAAAGATGGAAGAAATCTTGTCAAAGCCCTATGGACGTTTTCATCAACAGATAAACCAAAGGATGCATGCCTGCAAAAATATAACTTTTAAAAAGATGTCTTTTTTTGTTGTTAAAGAGCCATGAGAGCATATCCTTCTGAATAAAATGCACTGTGAATAAATAAAACTTCTTAAATACCCAATCAATTGAAAATAAAAGCAATTCAGATGCTCATTTTCCAGTAGAAACACCATGTGTGTAGTGTTTAAAACAAATTTATTTGATGAAGTCATAGAAAATAGGCATAAAATAGAGGTATTGAGTATGATTCTTTTTAGATATGATCTGATTTGATGTTATATAATGTCAGTGGGTAGAATGATGGAGAGGATCAGAGAGCACTGTATTGTGTATGAAAAGAAGTGAAAGTGGGTTGCACAAAAAGGATTTAAGTACTGCATGACTAGTCTAGAAAAACCAGCTTTGAAAGAACAGTCCACTATTAGATAAGAGACCTGTTTACTGAGGCAGGACAACTCGAGCTGTGTTAGATACATACAGTGAGCTGTCATTTGTATGCATGTACTGTATCTCTCCCACACACCACTAAATGATCTTAAGCCAAGTTATTTTATTCCAGAACACTGTATGTAACATGTAATGTATATGCATTTGAATACATTTGACAACTAATTGGTTTATTTTGGGGCTTTTTAATAGCTTGTAGGGATTTGGGTCATCTTACGACTACATTTGCATATTTTTTCATTAACAAATAATCAATACTTATTACTATTACTACTTTAGTTACATATGTACTGTATCATAGAATTAAACCCTCTGATCATTTGGCTGCAAACAACATAAAATGATTTTGAAATCAGTCGAACTATTGCATATGTGATAAACACTTACTGGCACAACTTCACCTCCTTCCAAAGTACATGGAAAGGAGCAATAGTCTAGAGATTGAAGCTTTCGTTGGGGGTCACAGACAGAAACCCATAAATAATAAAGTTGTTCTTCATACAACAAGTTGCTACAGGAGTTTCAACCTCTTTACAGTTTGTTAGGTGCACCTGTTCAGTTGCTACATTTAGCTATGTAGACATGGTCAAGATGACCTGGTGAGAATCAAACCAACCAACAGGATGAAAAAGAATGGGGATTTAAGTGTTTTTGAACGTGGTATGGTTGTTGGTGCCAGACAGACTAGAAACTACACTGGAACTTTCTGTATAACCTAAGGATTTCAGAAAGAATGGTCAGGAAAAAGAGAAAACGTCTCATGAGCATCAGTTCTCTTGGGGGAAAAAACATAAAACTGAGCTATGCAGAAGAGCGTCTAAGAATTGCATAACAAGTTAAACCTTATGGACTACAGCAGCAGATGACCTCACCAGATGCCACTCCTGAAAACACAAAACTAAACCCCAAAATTGAACTAAAGATCAGAAAAACATTGTCTGGTCTGAGAGTGTGGCATATGCAACATGAAAGCAATCCTGCCTTATATCAACGGTTCAGGCTGGTGGCAGTGTTGTGGAAGATCTGGACCCCTTATTTCCAAATGAGCACCAGCTTGTGGAAAAGACTCCCAAAAACCACACGGGCTATTGTTGCTGACCATGTTCATGCATTTATGTAGGGTGACCATATTTTGATTTCCAAAAAAGAGGACACTTGGCCCAGTCACGAAGAACTTTAAGAATACTGTTTGCTTAAAGAAAACTTTAACATATTTAAACGATGCCTTCTCTGTGCTGTTATGTGAATGGTGAAATAAAAAATGTCATATAGGCTTTTACAAGTCAACAAGTGCAAAAAAAGTGGAGGGTTGGTCATCCTAATTTATGACCACAGTGTACCCATCTTCTGATGGCTGCTTCCAGCAGAACAATGTAAAATATTACAAACTTTATATAATCTCAAACTGGTTTCTTGAACATGATAGTGACTTCACTGTACTCAAAAGGCTTCTACAATCACCACATCTCAATCCAGAGCACCTTTGAGACTTGGGGGATCAGTAGGTCCACATTACCCATGTGCAGCCGATAAATCTGCAGCAACTGTGTGATACCGTCAAGGTGTACCAAACAAAGTGGCTGGTGTAATGTATATTTCATTTTTAATAATCCTGAAATACGGGGAAGATAAGTACCTCTATAATTATTAACTTGTGACTATAGTTTTATTGTATGCGTTTAGTTCTTCATTTAAACGCATATATCATTTAAAGCACAACATACGCTGATCTACTGGATATTAGATAAAACACTGATCTTTTGGATTAAAAACGTAGCGTGTGACGTAGGATCAACTAATTGGGTCTGATCGATTGTGCATGTGCACTGGCTCGCTCTTTCACGTGCGTTTTTCAGTCTGTGGCTAGCTGACTCAGTAGCTTTAACGTGACTAGCGGTCACATCACACACACACAGAGGTAAACATTAACCAGCACAAGTTGTTTGCGTGTTTAAAGAAACTTTTTGCTGGAAAGAAGAACATGGCGACAACTAGGTCTGTTCAGGCTAAAGGATATTTGCTGTACAGGTAAGCTATTTCTGTCAATCTGCACGGAACCAGCAGGTAAACCAGTTTTTGCAGACATAGGAAAACATGTGGACCCATTTAAATAAATGAATTGTTAAAGCAGCAAATGGCAAACGGTTAAACATTATTTTTCGCAATTCAATATCTTTTATGTTTTCAGACATATTGCATATGGATATATTGTATCTCTACATTATGTTCCTATGATACGTTTATGTTTTTCAAACATGGTTTGATCACTTGGAGGACCTCTGAACTTTGTCCTGTCTGAACTTTTTTGCCTCTATAGGGTTACGTAACCACCACTAGGATAACTGGGTCCCAGCAAACTGAACATGGGGCCGATAGCATGTTGTGTATGACACGTACTCATCTGAGAGTAGGATGATCAGATGTCTCTGTTTATGTTGGACAGCACAGCTCTCCCCTTTTCTTTTTCTTTTTAATCCATTGTCCCACACATTGAGCCAGTGCCCCACTGAGAAATCCTAAGCTTTGCTGATTTTGGTAAATATGGTGGAAAGTACCTCAAAGAAAATAAAGTGACAGTTTATTCTGGTAAATACAGTTTTTGTCTGGATGCAATTTTGGATTTTTTTTTTTTTATAAACAAGGGAAAATATAGCGTGTTGTGACACACCATCTGTGTGTCATAATTAGCTAAAATGGTCAGATATTGCTCAAAAACTTAAGCTAACCTATGAATATCATCCCTATTGAAATCCAGTGATCATTACCAGATAGAACAGCAGCTAAATAGCTATTGAAATAAAAGAGAACACAGGAGTATATAAAGCACGAGACGTAAGACCAAACTTCAGCTTTAATCCTCTATTGTATTTACTTAGAACGAAGTAGGAAAGTTTGCATTTAAATATAATTTATTCAGCGTATACATGCTAAAAGCTAAGCTGGTAACCTACACACTTGATTGCATGTTTAAATTGTTTAAGTTTCCCCAACATTGCTGGCATGCCCCACATTGTCTCACACAAACACAATGTTTTTACCACATGTAGTTTTGTGGGATTGGTCAACTTATCTTTAGCATATGATTTAAATATTTCATTTAACATTATAATTGGATTTCCTTTTATTCTTGGCCATTTTTCAGCCTTATCCATCAAAACTTTGTGGCTACTAACAAGTTTCTACCTTAGGTAACACACCTCCACAAGACCCATGATGACGGCCTTTCATCAGAACCATTCAATAACAGCCAGATTTTAGAAATGATCTGTCCTGCGGCATTGATTTTAGAGCCAATGAAAATGTTGTCTCACTATGTGGGATGGGGAACAAGGGATGAAAATGTTGTGCAGTTCCACACAAAGTGGGTCAACGGGTTACCATATTTTTTTGGGCCTCCATCCAGTACGCATTTGCTCCGTCACTGACTGAAATGTTATTCAGAAAACAAGTCTTTGGCTTATTATATGCTTTGTTATTGTTGATAGGGTGCCATGGGAAATGCATTTTTAATTATAGCTTCCAATTAAAGCCATTGGCCCATGGGGTTATTAAAAGAAACGTCCCACTGACCTTGAAAGTTTTAGGACTTTAGAATGACAAAACAAAGCAAAAGACTCAGCAGATGACTTTGCAAGTACTAACTTGAAACATAATATGGCTTCCTAATCCATTAGTGGGGATACACCAGCCATACATTATGAGGCAAATCCAGGATTTGAGGTTATTGTGACATTGTATTAAAATTGGGAGTTTTAAAAAGAATTACAAAGGTCCCTGAATTTCAAATGTAGCTGAGTTTAAGTATGTTTGTCAATTTTACTGTCACTTTTCTTAATGAAACTGCTGTTTTACTGTTTGGAATAATTCATATCACCTGTACTTCTCTTCTTTTCATTGGAACACCTTCTAAAAGTACAGCTTTAACACTTGACAGATTGAAGTTTTACTTCTCTGCTATGTGGGGCAAGAAACGGCTAGGTTAATATTCAAATACCATTTGGAGCCTCTTGGATAGTTCCAATAGTTGTAAAGTGAATAATATTCCCCCTTTATCCACTCCAGAGTGAGTGAAATAAAAAAGTTTTATGGTTGAAGACACAAGCTGTAGCATTCAGCCCACTCACTCATACAGTATGCATATTTTTCATATCAAAGAATATTAGCATGACTATCTTTTAGCCCATATGTCATGCACATCTCCATGTTCCTTTTTAAGTTTTTCTTTTTTATATTGACAACTTCTGGGTTTTTATGTTTTTGCTCCGAGCTTTTGTGAAACTTTCTTTCATCTTGTTTCTGTGTAGGAGGTTTTCAGAGAGCAGCGACAAAGGCTGGTTCCGATCCTTATTTGTGCACAAAGTCGATGCCAGGAAAGATGCTCACTCCAACCTGCTTTCAAAGAAGGAGACCAGCAACTTGTATAAGATTCAATGTAGGCCTACACCTTTTTACTTACATAAAAGCAAGGGTTTAGTTTCTTTAAGTGTTGGGTTACAGAAGGCCAAAGACAAGTGCCTGCGATACACTTACATCACATTATTGTGACATGGATCCTGTATATGTCTCAAAAGTGAAATAAATCATTTAAATGGAAGGCCATATGACCTCAGAGAAAACTGAAAACAACATGAGAGATGAAAATTGGGCTCCTCTGCAACAGCTTATGCATACACAAAACACTGTCAGCAACAAGTAATTCTAAGATAAGATGATGTC